TTTCTGCACATCCAGGCAGTTCCCACCAGAGGGCACTCCAAGCACTGCTCTCTCACCTCTGCTTTCATTTCTCTGACTTGCCACAAGGGGTCCACCAGATAAACTAATCCCTGCCAAGAGATACTTGTTATTTCAGGTCACTTGGTGCTTTAACCCAACTAAAAGCAGATAGATGCATAGAATTGGAAATGAATTAATGTAGTAATGCATTAACGATTTAGTTAATGAAATTTAATTGATCTTATTCACTTTCTAGTCAGTGCTGGGGAAAAATGCATCTCTATAAGGAAGGTCCTTTTCTTTGGGCCTCTGGCGTAAAGGAAAACAGAGACCATGAAAGGGGACACGCTGGTGGATGCTGTCCTTCTGGATGCTCTCATCTCTCCATTGGCTGCACCGAACTTGGACACTGCACATGCTTCTCAACAATTCCTTCAGCTCTTCCTCACCTGTGTCACAGCGGCAGAGACGTAAAACCACATTTATGAGGTGAGAGGACGTTAATACAATTAAGTTATATATTGTGAGGCACAGCCATCTGGCTGCCATTTAAAGAACCTCAGTTTCTGCCCTAACTGGTTTGGCTCAGTGGATAGAGCATCGGCCTGCGGACTGAAGGGTCCCAGGTTCGATTCCAGTCAGGGGCATGTACCTTGGTTGTGGGCACATCCCCAGTCAGGGGTGTGCAGCAGGCAGCTGATCGATGTTTCTCTCTCATCAATGTTTCTAACTCTCTGTCCCTCTCCCTTCCTCTCTGTAAAAAATCAATAAAATATATTTTTAAAAAAGAACCTCAGCTTCTTCCCTTATGAAAAAGGAGCTCAAAGAAGACCTCATTCTCTCTCTCTTTCGCTCGCTCGCTCGCTCCTGTCCTTCAGATGATAGGAAAGGGATCAGACTTGCAGACTGGACACGTAGGAAACAGAAGAAGTGCACTGTGTCAGGGAGGGCCCCTTTCTCCTAAAGAACCTCAGCTTCTTCCCTTATGAAAAAGGAGCTCGAAGAAGAGCTCATTCTCTCTCTGAGGGGCTCCTGTCCTTCGGATGATAAGGAAGGGATCAGACTTAAAGCCTGGACACGTGGGAAACGGAAGAAGTGCACTGTGTCAGGGAGGGCCCCTTTCTCCCAAAGCCACCTGCTTCACCTCATTGTCCACCCTCCCCATCTCACCCCCCACCCCTCCCACATAAGTACCCACCTTCTTCCACCTTCTCCCTCTGTTCTCCTCCTCCTCCCAGCCAGCCTGCCAGGTGGGAGAGGGTATTGGATATCCTCCTACACTCTGACTACACTGAGTAAAGCCAAACCCCGAACTCAAGAAGGTTGGGACAAAAGGAAATAACACCACTTAGTACATATTTTCACCTTTCCCAACAATGTCTTTCACTCATCCAGCTATGGCTGGTGGGAAGGAATGAGAAACAATACAAATAATATAGAACCTTTCAAGATCACAGCTCAGTGGACTTAGAGAAAGAATGAGAAAATCTCTTTCTTAGGTATTAAATGCACTCAAAGGCTATTAAATCATCCAAGCACCCACGTTACTGCCTGGCACCATGCCTCTCCTTTTATCATGGGATGTTGTGGAGGCTATAAAACAACCAACAGCCTTCTCCAGAAGGTTTTGCTTTACATTTGGTGTTACCCTGCTTACTTGCCATGCCTGGATCTCAGCTCACAGCCTATTAGAGAATTAAAAGTCCAGACAAGAAAGGAAATGACTCTTTTTCTAATTGAATTTATTGGGGTGACATTGGTTAATAAAATTATATAGGTTTTAGGTGTACAATTCTATAATACACCACCTGTATATGGTATTGTGTGCTTAACACCCCAAGTCAAGTCTCTTTCCATCACCATTTATCCCCCCTTTATCCTCATCTACCCCCACTCCTATTTCCCTCTGGTTGTCAGTATGTGTGAGTTTTCTTTTTTTCTTAACGTAATCCCTTGTCTTCATGAGTCCATTCCTTCATATATCAAGAGCTTTCTCCCTTGCTTCTTGGTGAGATGGCCATGAGGTTACCACAAGAAGTCAGGATGGCTATTGAACAACTACAGGGCGGTGAAATCATGGGTCTATTTATTTGTTCCTGAAAGGGTTTAAACCACCTAAATTACTGTTGAATTGCAAATTTCTCATTAGAGGTCTTTTCTTCTTCAGAATTCAGTGGAGCTAATGTTACTTATTGAATTGGGGTTAATGGGGGTTTGTGACTTAAAACCTTTTCCAAACTGAATACGAATGCCATTTCTACTACACTAAGATCTCTACTACACCTTCATTTTATCTGATACGTTCATGATAAGGGCATCAGCCTGATCCTCCCCATAAAGCAAGGGAACTGGGTTCCACTCAATAGGCATGATAATCGGTGGATATCTAAAATATGGTAGCCGAAACTGGTTTGGCTCAGTGGATAGAGCGTCAGCCTGCGGACTGAAGGGTCCCGGGTTCGATTCCGGTCAAGGGCATGTACCTGGGTTGTGGGCACATCCCCAGTGGGAGATGTGCAGGAGGCAGCT